AAGTTTGATTTCTAAAATTTAAAATTTGAATTTTTCAAATGATCTTTGATGGAGAAATGTCCAAAATAAAAGTTATAGATCTCCAAAAGTTATACAACTTTATAGTTGACAACTTTTTTATTTGAAATCATTTACTACTTTAAAATGCTGATTAAAATTAAATTTTTAAATTGTTGAACAACTCTGATTTTATCTTTTTAATCTCTGGCTAAAACTTGTAACTAGTCTTTCTCTCTCGTACTAATTTCAAATTTGATGATTTTTTTCTAAAAATTTCTAAAATCAAGCTCTATCAATTTATTGTTTTGTTATAGCTATTATTTTATCCATCTTTTGATGTGACTGTTTTATATATTTGAATTTTGAATTTTAAAAGATAGTAACTTCAAACGTTATTTTAGAACACTAAATGATTTCAACTGAAAAAGTCATGAACATATAAGTTGTAGAACTTATCAAGATCTATAACTTTTATTTTGGTCATTTCTTCATCCGATAAAGTGGTAGTAACATTGTTCACAAATTTTACATCTCTTATAAGATATGTAAATTTTGTGAATAATGTTACTACCACTACGTCGGATGAGTAAATGATCAAATGACCAAAATAAAAGTTGTAGATCTCAGAAACTTATGAAACTTTATAGTTGATAACTTTTTGATTTAAATTCATTTTGTCAAGGAAAACTATGTTTGAATTTCTAAAATTTAAAATTCAAATTTTGTAAATGACCTCGGATGGAGAAACTAGCAAAATAAAAGTTGTAGATCGCAAAAAGTTATGAAACGTTATAGTTGACAACTTTTTGATTTGAAATCATCTTGTCAAGAAAAACTATATTTGAATTTCCAAAAATTTGAAATTTGAATTTTTTAAATGATCTCGGATGGATAAATAGCAAAAACAAAAGTTATAGATCTCAAAAAGTTATGAAACTTTGTAGTTGACAACTTTTTCATTGGAAATCATCTTGTAATGAAAAACTACATTTGAATTTCTCAAATTTGAAATTTAAATTTTGTAAACGACCTTGGATGGAGAAACTACGAAAATAAAAGTTGTAGATCTCAAAAAGTTATAAAACTTTGTAATTGATAATTTTTTCATTTGAATTCGTTTAGGATCCCAAATACTCATTTCAAAATAAGATGAACTTAAAATGGCTAGGACGAAAATCTCATTTGGACACAAATAGCTTGTAAGTGGAGTGGTTAGGGGCCGAAGACGCGAAGCAGGAGGATAGGAGTTCAAGCATCGGTGCCCGCGAAGTGCGCGTTTTTCGCGTGAAAAATCGCGTGACTTGGGATGCATGGACGTGTAGCTGCCTGGTGGGACCTCTACCGGTATTAAAAAAAATTCCTATTTTTCAGTGTATTTTTTGGCTTTCCATGTTACTGCTGGTTTCACATCAGTATCGGTTTATAAGAACCGACAGTGATGTCAACCCTCATCATTGCTGCTGGTATGGCACTATCGGTTTAAAATGTGGCATTAAAGGCGGTTTTTGAACCGACAGTGATATCAAGATCTGGGGTAGTGAAGCTTGCATGGGCCATGCACAAGTCACTTCTCAGGCCCATAATTAAGATTAGTGACCCTAATAGCTGGTACTAATCAGCCCAAATAATCTTCACTTAGCCGGCCTTGTATGCTGGCGCAAACCGAGCAAAATAATATACACTTCTTATGCCACTGTATTTATACACGAATACGCCGGGCAATGGGCTTAATTAGCAATACACTAATTATTTTATTTAAAAGCTAGCTCATCATGGGCCTGTGCTCTCAGCAAGCCTCACGTGGGAGAGTATTTGATAGGCCATTCATGAGTCATATACCCCGAGCCCATTTTGATTAATTAATCAAACCTTGCGCTAATTAATCAGCCTCTTGCATCTCAAAATATTTTTAACATAACCCATATTTAGCAAGTATACTATGCACGGATATACACAGTATTATCTTATGAAATTTCCTCTTATAAGAACACATATATAATATTATGATATGTCAAAATTTCGTCGCACACCAACAACAGAGCAGCTATTTCAACAGTTGAAGGCCGAACTACAGTAGGCTCAGCAAGAAAGGGACAGACTGGCCGAAACCTTCACTGCCAATCAAAGTGCAGCCCACGTCTCTTAGCAAGCAGCAGAGGTGAGACAACAGCTCGTAGTCCTATACAGGCAGAAATTCAAAGCCTACTACCAAACCCCCCATCAAACAACTGCAACCATTCCATACTAGCTGCACAAAAGCCAACATAACCTCCAACCAAGCCCCCAACCTCAGCCAACCTTTGGCACACCACTCAGCCTCATACCACCCCCAAAACCAATAAACAATAAATCTCCGTTGTCCGAAGGTCTGCAAACCTCACCTTGGCCACCCACCTACAGAACCCATATATTTACCCAAAGTTCAACGGGCAGACGGACCCCCTCGCCAATTCATAATGAGCTTTGAAGTAGCCGTAGCCTCCACCGGAGGAAATGACACAATACTCGCTTGCGGTGGAGAGGGGCGCCTTGGCCTGGTACTCCATGCTCGGGCCCAAGGCAGTATATTCATGGGAGGACATTCTCGTTCATCCAACCTAGTGGAAGATTGGGAACACAAACCCAAATACTCATGCAATCAAAACATACATCTGATGGTCTTAGATTCTGGTTGAGGTCCTGCAAAATCAACGCGAACTTCCCAATCATCCACGGAGACCCAGCTAAGGCGTACTGTTTCTCGGTTTCTCCACCTGCCCATCAAAATCTACTACAAACAGTTTGTATCCCTTCTCCCCTATAGATCGCACTCCTAGGCCCTTAGGGTTACCCCACGCTGGTCGCATAGCTTTGAAGATCGTTGAATTATGAACTGGCTTAGGGTCCAGGACTTCCCCAATTAGTAACCTCCAAGATCACCCCTTGTGACCCCTCATCGTCACTGTCCTCAATCACAGCTTCTTCCTTCGTCGTCAAATTCAGCCTGTTCATCATATCATTCACCGCCTCCTCCATCCATTGCCGGAACACTCGCTGTGAGTTTGTCTAGATCGATAGATCTAACCAGAGCACAACAGTTGACCATGCGTAGTCGGCCTCTAGAGATCTAACCCAAGTAGTTCAAACTCGATCAAGCAAGCCTAAAATCCTTGGAGGAAAAACAGTTCATTGAGTGGAAGAACCCATCCATGAAAATTTGGTGGACGATGGCTCCGGAGTGGCAACCGTCGGGCAAGATGGTGGACTGCAGTGTCGGAGTGGTTGCCATCGGAGCTAAAATAATTTAGAAGGTGGACGAACTAGATCGGGAACGGAAAGCCTCCTGGGGAACACGCCATATGAATTACGGAGCATCATCGTTTATTTCTATCACAGACGTTGTTACTTGCCTACTGCTCTAACGCTCAGACCCACACGGCCGGCTTGGCTTCAAAATCCAACAGGACGGCCACTACGAGTTCAGACCTGGGTTCTCGAAGTTGCAGGACAAGAAGACATCTACCATCGCTCACAACTGTGTTAGGCATAGTAGCGCTTTGAGAGTGTCGCTACAATGCCCTCATCGGTCGTCACCATCTCACTTATCACGAGGAGATATGGAAGCAAGACTATGACAACGAACGACCTCTCAATCCATGCCACCTAGGGAAGAGAGAGCTCAAGTGGGAAAAGAAACAATACAGCCCAGAAGAGAGAGAAGAGTAAGGAGGGGGTTGGAGCTGACTTGTGGGTTTCTCATGTTAGGCATACAAAGGCCCTGTTTAGTTCCTAAAAATTTTCATCCCAAAGTGTCACATCGAATCTTGCGGCACATGCATGGAGTACTAAATGTAGATGAAAAAAAACTAATTGCACATTGGGTGAGAAATCGCGAGATGAAACTTTCGAACCTAATTAGACACTAATTGACAAATACAAACGAAAGTGCTATAGTAACCAAAATAAAAATTTTTCCCAACTAAATGCGCCCAAAGTATGAATTTTGACTGGCTCCGAGACCCAAACAGTGCTTAGAGACCTAAATGAGGGCTTCCAGAGTTTTGGAATTGGGTTACAGCCGAACATGATTGAGAAACGTTAAGTGAATTTTGCTGTTGCATGTACTCATTCATATATACTCGTTCACATATACTGATTCACATGGGCTGACTACCCCGCGCAAACATAAAGCATTAGCCCATATCACGAATCTGCACTCATCGCCAAATTATGAACAGCCTGTGTAAGCCCTATACACCCTCAAAAAGAAAAAAAGCCCCTATACGAAATTATTAATGCACGTATCTGGGGAGATATTTGTCAAAAAAAAACGTATCTGGGGAGATTCCACTAAAAAAAAAATTGTCGTATCTGGGGAGATTTCTCCCACCTCCACCAAACAAAAGAATATCCGATCCCGAAACCCTTATAAATGGAAAGCTACGAAAACCTGGTTCCTCCGGAAACCCTCAGACGTCTGCCGTCAAAGTCAGTATACGCTCCTGTCTCCCTTTTCTTTCTCGATTTGCTCGGCAGCTCGGGTGGCGCTCCCATTCCAGCTGTTCGCCGCGCCGCCGCCGCCGCCGCCAGATTCTTTGCCGCTGGTCTCGTTCGCACTCTTGAAGTCTTGATCGGAACCATGGAGCGGCAGCACAAGAAACCAGCGGCCACTACCGCCGCTTCCTCCCCTGCCAGCTCAGGTTCTTCATCCCCCTCTCGCTCGATTCACGGTTCCATGTCGTCCGGCTTTACTCGGCGTGTCGTCATCGACGCACTCCCAGTCCCAGCGCCGCTCGTCGCCATCGCTCTGTCCGCCGCCGGCACCGGCACCGTTGCCCAGCCTCCTCGCTTTTCGCGGCTCTGCTGTCACTGGCGGCTCCGCATCAGGTTCGTCGTCATCCCAGTTCCATCAGATCTCGCCTTCTCCAGGGACGGCGGCGAAACGCCGCCCACGCCCAAGCAGCCGGATCACGCACTCCCTTCCCTCGCCCTTCCTCTCGGAGCTTAGCGCAATCCGTAGGATGGGCACCAACCTCTTCGGTGATCTGAACGCGCAAGAAATAATGACCCAGCGCCCGTTGCTCCACGGCCAGCAGGAGCAAGAAATGACGCGATCGTCGTCGTCGTTGACCATGCCCCACTCCCATCATCGTACGCCCATTCCCATCGGGGACTTCTCCGACTTCCCGTCCGCGTCGCAACAGCAGCAGGCTCTCACCATGCGAGGCCTCCTGGGGTTCGCGCCGCCGCCATTGCAGCAACAGCAGCCGCAGCCGTTGTTTTCTAGTCTGCAGCCTCTGCCCGTCGGCAACTTCCTACAGTCGGGCGGTAGCAGCAGTGAGCAGAGCATGACGGGCGCCGCCGAGGGAGTTGGTGTTGGGCAAACCTGGGAGGCCATGCCGACGCCGGCAAGCGTTCATGACAAGGTGAACAACGGTGGCAGTAGCAGTAGCCGCATTCCCTGGAAGTGTCACGGTTCCATGCCCGTGTATTCCCGGTCGGAGGAGCAAGCACTACAACAGCTGAGCGACCTGGTATCTCTGTGGTCATCTACTGCAAGCAGCAGCTGCGACCAGAGCATGGGGAGCAGCGTCGCAGGCAGTTGCCAAGGCTCGGCAGCCATGCCGGCGTTGGCCAACAAGTTCCAACTGATGAGCATTGACAGCAGCAGCTGTAGTGCCAGGCCACAAATGCCATTGAACTACAGCTCCTTGTCTGTGGAAAACTCCACCCCTGTCGTCCCCGCCGTGCCAAAGCTGATAGTTGGAGGCATGGACAGACCTGGGTTGCTACTACGGCCGCCAGCTCTTGGAGCTGGCGCTAGCAGCAGCATGTCGCGAAGGGGCGGCACCAAGGAGCACTTCTTCTCTGAGGCCGACATAGAGAAGATCAATAAAAACAACCGACTCAAGGAGCTCGTGAAAACAGAACCTAAGAGGGTCAGGAGGTACATTCATTCATGGATTTCCAATATCTCATGTTCATTGTTGTGCAGTGGCCATGCATCTGTGGTATATATTTATCGAAGTGCTCAAACTTTTAGTTCTGCCTCTGATGTTCTTAATTTCTTCCATTTCAACTCTTGTATAAAATTGTAGGATTCTCCGTAACCGGGAATACGTGGCACGGCTGAAGGTGCAAAAGGCAAACCACATGCAAGATCTTCAGCACCGGGCTGATGCACTAAAGATGGAGTGCACGTCATTATCTGCACAAGTGCAGTCGCACCAGGTTTGTTCTGTACTTGTGTACCGGCCACAACATGCAATAATAGCATTATTTCTCGAGTGACAATGTAGGTTGTTGATATTTGTATTATTTGTCTATCCCAGGAGATGGTTGATAGCCTCAAGACTGGGAACCGCGAGTTGCAAATAAAGTTAAAGGGGCTGAATGAGCAAGCCAATTTGAGCCAAGGTGAGCTTGTTCATTATTGCTTGTATTCAAGAGTTAATTCATTTAAGTTTAGATCTTGTAGTGCATTAGATGATGATATGCGTTCTTTGCCAAAATACAATTCAGTAATTTAGAGTTCTTTAAGTTCATGCATGCATGATGCCGACTGTCCTCATCAAGTTATTTAGTTGTCGGATTGCACGTATATAAGGTTTTGCAGCTTGTTGTGTATGGAAAAGAAAATGGGGGCATTTACTTGAGACTCACTGTTTCCCTCCCTATACTTGGAGCTCCAACAAAGATAAAATCTAGAAAGGATGAGCAATCTCTTGGTGTGGATTTTCTTGGATTTTCATATTGTTTGTCACACATTTAATTTTGCCTTTTTTGTGTGGCTACTATTCTTAGATTTTGCAATTTGTAGTTGTGTGTGTTGTAAAAAAAATTAATTTGTTGCAATGGCTTTTTTGTTGTTTGCATCAATTATTTATTATTATCATTTGTTGCATTGCACAGAACATATTGGCTACAACAATTCAATATGTTCTCTTTTTCAAGTTTTTTTTTGCAAAGATTCCACCAGCGTGTTTCAATATGTCAAAAGATATTCTGACCTTCATGTGACCCTTTGCTTAGGACACTGATTATAGATATTTGGATCTACGCATCTAGCTATGTTGTAGAAGCTCTGTTTTTGCCTCCTGGTAATGTTTTCCAATAATGGATCATCCCATCGGATGCTTCACATCAAATGTCAGAGGGTTAGCAGCTCCCATTTTCAAATATACATGAAAAATGTTTTACTTGTTGGATATCAATTTATGATCTTGCTGCATTGGTAATTTACAAGATCCATGCATCAAGAATAATTATCAAGCAGTAACTATGTACTGTCTGCTGAAGCATTTTCAAAAGATGAGTTTTTGGTTAGAACTTATATTAGAAGGAAGGATGTACGGCACCTAATCTTTACACTGTTTAATTGCTTCTATTTAGCCTCAAATTCAATTATTAGCTACATAGGGTGAAATTACATGTGTACTAGATGGTTCTAACTATTCTGTGACAGTTGATGTAACCAGCAAGTCCCTCAGTTCATATAATTATGTTTTTATTATAACATGCCTGGTATAGTTTTCAGGTTTACGGTTTTAATTTTTTTTGTGATTGCACTGAAAGTCTTGTTGTCATTTTTTCAGTTACTCTTGAAAAGTTTTTTTTGGGTCAATTTCAATGTATATTTATAATTTTTTATTTTATCTTTTGGAACATTAATTTGCAAGAGTAAGTGAATATTATGCATGTTAGTATGTGGTGTGTATTTCAGATTCACAACTTGTATGCATGAATATTAGGAGGTGCAGGGGGGGGGCTTATATGGACAAACACAGATTGATATTATAGTGTCACAAAAACTTGAAATAATAAGTTATAATATTTATAGAACTCTATATTTTTAGATGATGTGTTACTGTTTATCCATTTTTTTTTTCGAAATCAAATTAATTTGACACTGACAGACTGTGTGGCATCTTATCCTTGCTTCACATGTTTGACATCACACATATGGTGAATTATGTGTTTGAAACATAATATGCTGGGTGTCATATCCACTTTAATATTCTTTGATAATAAAAAACATGCGAAAAATGATCTATACACTTTGATCTGCTTACTCCATATATTAGAAATGTGGATTATAAGAGCTGCAGTTAATTTATCATTCAAGGGTGTAATAATGCATGTAAGGGTTTTTCATCGATTGGACATTTGCTCCCTTGTTCAAAGATTCATACTCAATAGGCATATATATATTTTGCAATTATGTCTTTCAGTCTCCTAGGTGACCCTACTTCATCCATGTTTACAATATTTTTCCCTTCTTATTTATAAACTTGTATCTTCAAATAATTCTGTAACATGGGATTGCTACTCTTTATACAGCTCTAAATGATCAGCTACAATCTGAGATCGAGAGGTTAAAACTTCTTTAGCTCAATATCCTTTGTGCCAGTGGCATACACAATCCAAAGAGCTCGTAGATGGCAGGTTGGAGTGGTTCATCCGCCAATGGTTTGCACCAACTGATGGATTCCCATGTGAATGATCTAATTAGCTCACACCAGCTTCAAACACAGGAACACACACCACAGCTGCAGCCGGAACAACAACCACATCAAACTGTTGACGACGAGTTTATGGATCAATAGCAGCAGGCATGGAAGTTTTGTAATATATTTTTTTTGACATTTGATTTCTGGAAGCATGCTTCACAATTAAGGAGTATTCTTGTTGGATTTTGTATGTGTGGGAATGATATTTATCCTTGCTAAGTTCTATTTCGTTGGTTTGAACTTATTTCAGTTGTTTATTGTAGTTCATCTGTTGTATATATTTTCTTTGGAACTTATTTTATTTAATTATGTCTAATTTACTTTGATGGATTATTGCATTTATCCTAGTGCATGGACATTCTTTAAAATTACGTCTTGGTTGCTTTAACTTGACTGTAACACCACAATTTTATGATTTTGAAAGATTTTAACAAATGTGTGAATTTTTTTTCTATCACTAGTAGAGAAACGACTTTTGATCCACTTCAAACTTTGGCTTTAGTCCCGGTATTTTTCGCGCTTGGGACTAGAGAAACCTTTAGTCCCAGTTGGTAGCTCCAACAGGGACTAAAGATCCCTGCCCAACGGCTACTGTAGTAGGCTTTTGCTGCAGGGGACCTTTAGTCCCGGTTGGAGCTACCAACCGGGACTAAAGGTTAACTTTTACTCCCGGTTGGTCCCTTCAACCGGGAGTAAAAGTCTACTCCCGGCTGGAGGCTCCGTCCGGGACTAGAAAGGGACCTTTAGTCCCGGTTGGTGTCTCCAACCGGGACTAAAGGTCCCCTTCTATATACCTCTTCTTCCTCCCCGAGCCCGAGCCACTTCGACCTCAGTGTTCTTACTTCATCGCCGGCCTCTCTTCTTCCTCATCGCCGGTAATCACAAGATTTCTTCGATTCCTCCATCGATTCTTCGGTTCTAAAGGTTACCAACTTTATACTCTCATGTTTCATCAGTAGCATATCTCATTTTGTGGACTAGGTATATGTGGTTTTTTATGGTGGATTTTTTTTATTTGTAAGCCATTTAAGCTCAAAATCACTTTAAAGTTTGCATATTTGGATGAAGGAAGGTTAAAGTAGTTATTCAGAACTAGTATTCAGCTTTCATTTCTAGCATGCATAGCACACTTCATGGTTTATAGATATAGAGAATTTTAGAGTTTTTTTAATTTTATTTGTTTATAAAATGAGAAATTTATATTATATTAAAATGAGTATAGAGAGTAGATGGCAATCGCTTGGGTCTCGGCCTCTCATCGGGTTCCAAAGCGATCGAGGTTTAACCTCCTCTCATTGCATGCGGCAAGTGTGAGGAGAAGATTGTGATGGAGTACCGGGTGAGGAAGGAGTGTCCCAACAAGGGCCGTATCTTCTATAAGTGTCCGGATCGCAATGTGAGTTATTTTGTCGTATTTGATGATTATGATTAATTTATACTTATTTTCATGATGATTGTGATTAAAGTTCTAATTTTTTGTTTTAATTTCAGTGGGATGGCACTGGATGTTCAGGCTGGTACTGGAAGGAAGAGTATGTTGAACACGTGCAAAACTCTCTTGCACAGGCGGCTACGGCGGTTGATGAGGCAGTGATCCTACGGAAGAAGCCCATAGATGTTGAACAAACACATGGTCTGTCTGTTTTAGTTGGGATTGGTCACGAAATCCTTATGCTGCTGAAGTGCATTTTAGCTTTAGTTTTTTAGTGGTAGTTGGGATTGTCTACATTGTAGCGAGACTTTCATAAATTAATATCTTGTGTGGTGACATGCATGTCGTATAATTAACTAATTATGTTCTAGGTTTTAATATGGTACGTATGTCATGTAATGTAGATGAGCCAGCATTGGATGTACAATGCTGATCGCCGCTCCCAAGAGTTCATTGAGGGCGTGCATTCTTTCTTACGTGTGGCCGAGGCAAACAAACGTGATGGTTTCATGTGCTGCCCATGTGCCATATGTAAGAATTTGAAGGAATATGCTAGCTCAAGGAGTCTTCATTCACACTTATTGAAGTCGGGTTTCATGCCAAACTATATTTGTTGGACGAAGCACGGAGAAACCGGGGTTGTAATGGAAGAAGGTGAAGAAGAACAATGGGACAATGATGATATTATTGCTGAATATGGTGCCTTCAATGATACTACAATGGGGGAAACTAAAGAAGAGGTAGGGGCAGAAGATGAGCCCGCTGATGATCTTGAATCAGGCCATTCGTGACGCACAAAGAGAATGCGAAAGTGAAAAGGAGAAGATCAAGTTCGAGCGCATGCTAGAGGATCACAAGAAATTGCTATACCCAACTTGTGATGCGGGGCAGAAAAAGTTGGGTACCACACTGGAATCGCTGCAATGGAAGACAAAGAATGGTGTATTTGACAAGGGATTTGGGGAGTTACTGAAAATCCAAAAGAAGATGCTTTCGAAGGATAACGAATTGCCCGCCACTATGTACGAAGCAAAACATGTAGTCTGCCCTTTGGGATTAGAAATCCAGAAGATACATGCATGTCCTAATGACTGCATCCTCTACCGTGGCGAGGAGTACGAGAAGTTAGATGCATGCCCGGTATGTCATGCATCGCGGTATAAGATCAGGCGAGATGACCCTGGTGATGTTGAGGGCGAATGTCCCATGAAGAAAATCCCTGCCAAGATTATGTGGTATGCTCCTATAATACCATGCTTGAAACATCTATTCAGAAACAAAGACCATGCAAAGTTGTTGCGATGGCACAAAGAAGACCGTAAGGTAGATAATATGTTGAGACACCCTGCTGATGGGTCCCAGTGGAGAGCAATCGATTGAGAATTCCTGGAGTTTGCAAATGATGCAAGAAACTTAAGGTTTGCTTTAAGTACGGATGGTATGAATCCTTTTGGGGAGCAGAGCAGTAGTCATAGCACTTGGCCTGTTACTCTATGTATCTACCACCTTCCTCCTTGGTTATGCATGAAGCGTAAGTTTATTATGATGCCAGTGCTCATCCAAGGCCCAAGCCAACCTGGCAATGACATCGATGTGTACCTGAGGCCACTAGTTGAAGAACTTCTACTTTTGTGGAACAGACCAGGTGTACATGTGTGGGATGAGCACAAATAGGAGCACTTTGACCTGCGAGCGTTGTTGTTCGTAACAATCAATGATTGGCCTGATCTAAGTAATCTTTCAAGACAATCAAACAAGGGATATAATACATGCATGCACTGTTTCGATGACATTAAAGGTATATTCTTGAAAAAAATGTCAAAAGGTTGTGTACCTTGGCCATCGTCAATTTCTTCCTACGAATCACCCCCTAAGAAAGAAAGGCAAGCATTTTAAAGGTAAGGCAGACCACCAGACCAAGTCGGGCAACCGAACTGGTGAGGATGTACTCAATATGGTCAAGGATGTGAAAGTAGTATTTGGAAAGGCACATGGCAGCGAACCTGTTCTGAACGACGCCAATGATCACGCACCCATGTGGAAGAAGTCTATATTTTGGGAGCTACCCTATTGGCAAGTCCTAGAGGTCCATAGCACGATCGACGTGATGCACCTGACAAAGAATCTTTGTGTGAACCTGCTAGGCTTCATGGGTTGTATGGGAAGCCTAAGGACACACTTTAAGCATGACAGGACCTGACGGTGTTTGAAAGAACGAGACAACCTGCATCCAGAGAAGACAGATGATGGACGCCATTACTTAAGTCTTGCTAGCTACACTCTTAGCAAAGAAGAGAAGGAAAGCATGTTTGAATGCCTAGCAAGCATCAAGGTACCATCTGGATTCTCCTCAAATATAAAGGGTATAATAAATATGCCAGAGAAGAAATTCCTAAACTTAAAGTCCCATGACTGCCACGTGCTCATGACGCAATTGCTTCTAGTTGCATTAAGAAGAATTCTACCTCCAAATGTACGTCTAGCCACCGTAAAGCTATGTGCATTCCTCAATGCAATTTCTCAGAAGGCAATCGATCCAATAGATCTAGCTAAACTATAGAATGATGTGGTTCAATGTCTTGTCAGCTTTGAGTTGGTGTTCCCTCTTTCCTTCTTTAATATCATGACACACCTCCTAGTTCACCTGGTCAAGGAGATTAGCATTCTCGGTCCCATGTTCCTGCACAACATGTTCCCCTTTGAGAGGTTCATGGGAGTCCTAAAGAAATATGTTCACAACCGTGCTCGGCCAGAAGGAAGCATCGCCAAGGGCTATGGAACAGAGGAGGTCATTGAGTTTTGTGTTGACTTTATTCCCGACCTTGACCCGATTGGTGTTCCTGAATCGCGACACAAGGGGAGACTAAGTGGAAAGGGGACACTAGGGAAGAAACCATATATTGGTACGCATGACAATTATTTTAATAAAGCACACTACACAGTTATGCAAAACTCCTCCTTGGTGGATCCGTATATCGAGACACATAAAGAGTTGCTCTGATCCGAGTTTCCAGGGAAGTCTGAAGCTTGGATTACGCGTCAGCACATGGAAACTTTCAGCGACTGGTTGCAAAAAGAATGTCAGGGTGATGAGAGTATTGATGAGCAACTGTATTTGTTGGCTAGGCAGCCATCGTGGCATATCCTCACATACAAAGGGTACGAGATAAATGGGAATACATTTTACATAGTAGCCCAAGATAAAAGGAGCACCAACCAAAATAGTGGTGTCCGCATAGATGCCACCGGCCCTAATGGAAATAAGCAAACATATTATGGCCGCATAGAGGAGATATAGGAACTAAACTATGCACCTACTTTTAAGGTACCTTTGTTCAAGTGCCAATGGGTAAAGGCGACTGGAGGCGGGGTAGCAGTCGACAACCAGTATGGAATGACAACCGTGGACCTCAACAATATTGGGTATAAAGACGAACTGTTCGTCCTT